TCACTTTTTAGCCAGAAGTAGCTTTCTGAAATTGTCAAGTTTCGTGAGACCAACATTTGTCATGGAAGTGGCAGCTGCTTTATCTGATACGTTTTATGCAATGTATTGCATTCTGTGGTGACAGGAATAGTGTACACTGGACACAACGTGAAAATGATGTGTGTTTTATTTTTGGCATTGGCTTAGTAAAGTATGTGGCCAAAAAAAGGATAAGAGGAACTAAGTCAGGTATTGGAGTTTGTTCTCCCTTTTTTTTTTTTTGTTACATATGATAAAAATAATTTTGAATATGAGGAATCCCAGTAAGATCTGAGCATGTTTGATAAAGGATCAAAATTCCTAAGTCACATTTCCTGTGAATTAGGTTTTATAGAGCATGCATAAAACAATAGTGTGAAAGAGACTTTCAGGGAGAATGTATTTGCCAGCTATCCCATATTCACTTTCTGAAGTGATGAAAAAAAGAGGTGGGGAAAGACCTGTCTCCTTGTCTCAAGCTCAGGTCTGGTTTATATAGTTTCAATACTCTTCAGAGCATCCCTTACGTTTTATCTGCTCCAGTTTGTGTGGCAGAATTTTTAGCACCTCTTTTCGCCTCCTGTCCTTGTTTTTGTAATAGTTAGAACTTGTGTTGCTGTTTTTCTTTGCACAGCTTTATCCAGTTCCCTGGCTTATGATCAGCTGGACCAAGTAGAAAAAGTCCCATTTGTCTCAGTTTTAAAACTCTTCAGCTCTTGTCAATGTGTCACATTCTCTTTCTGCTCCTTAATGAAAATATTGCGTGAACAGGATCTAAATTCCCATCTCCCAGAAGAAGTAGAAATTGTTATTGGTTTATCTTTATAGTTCAGCTGCATAAGGCACTGGGCATTGAACTAAAAGGGAAATAATTCTGAACTAGGAAAGGATTAAAATAGATGTGGTTAGCGACTGAAATGAGTACTTTGTACAGTAGGCCAAACACCAGCTCTTGGGAAAAAAATTGGTTTGCTTTTTGGGTTTGTCTCTAACTTGTGAAGATGTGCAAAAATGTAGTAGGTTGTCTTTAAATCAAAGGTGTTTTAGGTGCACATGTTGTCATAAAGTTGAGTGCAGGGTTCGGAGAGGGATAGTACGTTTTTATACTTTAGTAAGTTAAAACACACCACAGTCATTCTTGTACTATCACCTCATTAATTTCTCAGAAGTGATTATAATGAAAATATCCTTAAATTGTTGTTTGATTTTCTTTTGGTCATTCTTGTTTTACAGTGAGCTCAATACAGGAGTTTGTTTTCCTACCTGTGCACTATAATTGTGAATTGCAGTAGACCAAGAACTTGTGATTTTTGCCCATGTAGAACCACTTAGTTTTACAGGACAAGGTGATATATTTCTGACCTGTAACACAATTTACTAAAACTGTGTTAGTTACCCCTAGTATATTGTATTTGCTGAAGGACTAGAAGAGAACAAATTTGATAAAAAAAGCCCAGTCTGAAATGGTAATATATAATCTTGTAATGCAAGAGCAAATAAAGTAAATAACCAATTTTTATCACTGGCAAAAATTTAGCCATTGAGCGTATGTTGAGATTTGTCTTTAGAACATCAGATAATTGGAAGAGAGGGTAGGCTATTAGAGGCAGAACATCTGATGTAGTAAATAATGTTCCTGCAGTATAGTTACAAGAATAATTGAATAGGTTAAAATAAGTCTTCCCTTCAGCTCATGGTTACTGCCCACTCAGCTCAGCCAGTGGCTGTCAGTACTTCTAGCCTATTTTAATTCAAAATAAGGGAAGCCCATTTTAATCACCAGTGGAGCAGCTGGTACCACCCTCTGTCAAAAGGAGGATGCTGGTCTTGCTTGAAAGTGTATTCCCTGTGTTTATTTTGTGGGAAAATATGTTTCAGAGTTCAGGGAATGGGACTTTAAAATCAGTTGGAAAAAGAAATTGTTTTTTTTTGTCAAATAATTCCCTATTTTATGCCACTCAGTGTGTATTACAGATGCTTAGCTTTTCTAAATAAAAAGCTTTGCGTCTCTGGGTCTGAAAGTCGTGCAGACATCCGAAGTATTAATGCACCTGAGAGTTAGGAAAGTAGAGAGGCTACTGCATCCTGGCCCAGTACTTAGCAAGCAATATCAGCTTTCCCATTTGGCTATAGCCCAAGCGCTGTGCCTCTGTATCTTTGTTTTGAAGAGTCGATGTAGATTGACTTGAGTTCAGGAGAGGATTTTGTCAGTCAGCTTTCAAGTCATGAACATTGAGGCCAGTCCCTTGTTTGTGGAGCTGACAGTACAAAAGTGAGTGTTTGACACGTGGCTTGCTCAGTGGATGGGGATAGAGGCTGTTGAGATTTTTCAGAGATCAGGCTCTAAATGAAGTTGTTCTGTTGGGTCACTCATCTGATTTACACACAAGCTGTTTCTATTGAAGCACCTGGGGCCTTTTGTTCAGGCTTGTGAATAAGTCTTTTTCAGTCACCAATAGTAATTTAGCGTCTCTGCTTCCTTCAATAGGTAAAAGGCAAGTACAGGAAGGACATTTTCTTCCACATTGTGTGCAACTTCACACTTATTTTTTTAAGATAAATGACAGAACTGCATGACTATTTTAAATTTTGTTATATACTGGAGCAGATTCAGAAGTCATCTAAGGTGTTGGTAATTTTTTATTCCATACTTCCTAATTCTAGAATAATACTAAGCATCAAGAATGCACAGGTGAGTAATGATATCCTCTGTAGGTACACAGAGCTCTGCAGAATAGCCCTTCAGTGTTTTCCTTTGTTATTGTGGCAATTTTAGAGGAATTTCATTGCTTTGTAAGTGCCCTGGCACAATGGAGTGCCCTACCTGCAGCTTGTAGTGACTGACTTGAGCCATAATCTCACCTAAACTTTGAGTCAACGTAAATCTGTCCCTCTGCTGACAGCATGCTCCTCATTTTTCCTGCCTCTGTACCTTTCCATCCTTCAGTCAAATATTTAAAGTTACTTCTTTTTTCTTATCAATCAGTTTTAATGGCAATCAGTTCTTTGAGTTTGTTGTCACTGCACGAAAACTTGAGCCAGCTCAAGGGATGGGAAAGCCTGAGAATATGGAATAAATGATTTCTGCAAGTCTTGGATAAGTCTTTGTGCAAAAAAAACCCCAAACCACAAACAAAACCAAAACAATAAAAAACCCACCCCATTATGTTATAAATCCTAGGATGGGTAATGGTAAACAGCTGATGCTTACCTAGTGAATTTGTTCATCAGAGGCACCATGTAATGGATCTCCCTTATTACTGTAATGTTCTTGGAGAGTAATAAGCAAGTTTGATTTGAGTAAATGTATTATTAAAATGGTAAACTGCTTAACCATAGATGTCCATTTCATATATAAATATTTAAAAAAAAAAATCACAACAGCTTTCAAGCTGCAGTGATGCATATTACACTGCAAAGAAAAGATCGCTGGAATTTGGGAGGGTTTTTTATGTGGGAGTGTTTGGGAAGTTAAGACAGCAGACAAGGAAGTATGGCTCGTTTTTGTAACTTGTTATAATACTATGGCTGTAATTTTTTAGGCTTCAGGAGGGGCACTATGTACAAATTTATTTGATATGTAATGCTATGAAGTACTCAAATTTTAGAGTTTCAGTATCTTTGTAAAGTGAATAGTTGTTTTTTTGAGTTTTTTTAAAATTAAAATAAGGTGAGGAATTTATTTTAAGGTATCATAAACTTCTAGTAAGTACATTTCTGTGGATTATGTTCCCCAGCAGGCTTTTAATACTATTTCTGGAACAGCGGTGTAAATTGCAACAAAATACAGCAAAGAATGTGGTGACAGACAGGGTTAATCTCGCTGTGTCTGTCTGCACAGGACCAGATTATGGATGTTGGTGATCACCTTTCTGCTCATTCAGAGATGGGTTGTGTTGCTCTTACATAGTTGTTTAGTGCAAGATTGTGCAAGGTTGTCTAGCCCTCTTAAGAGCAGCACGAAACGGTGGCTCAGGAGGCAGCTGTCATTTCATACCCATTCCAGCTGCCCTTTCTGCTCAGATTTCTTCCCATCCCCCCGTTTCAAAAAAAAAAAAAAAAAAAAAAAAAAAAAAAGAGTGGAGGGGAAAAGATTGCAAAAAAGAAGAGTACGAGGGTGTAAAATCTCTAGCAGCTAATCTATCACATCCTTCAGTTTTCATGGCTATCTGCCAATTTAAAATACACTTGTTTTTTCCTGCCTTGCCAGTAATTAGACAAATGCAGTAGTGCTTATGGCATCAAAAACTCTGTGGCTGGTTAAAGCAATTGCTATCATAATGCATCCCTAAATTTAATAGTAGTGGTGTAAAATGAATAAGCAGCTCTCTATTTCAAGGGGTAATGGCTTTAACTATCAACATGGCTAGTATTTTTCTTGATTGGCTGCTTTGGCTCCTTTTTTGTACTTGTATTTGTAGGAACTGAATCAATTTATTGTAACAATTGTATTTTACTTAACAAACAACAAGGCAAGCAGAAACATGAAACTCCTATGAAGTGTCACCAACTTCCTGTTCGCTTTGGATTGCAGGTTTTTCCTTTTGTCCCCTTTAGAGACAAACCCTAAACCTTTTCTTTCTTTGCAAGTATTATACCTAAAGTTGTTGTTTCCTTTTCTGCTTTCCTTGCAAAATTTCTTGCCTTGTATTGTGCTTGGCACGTTGCCGTGCATGGACAAAATGTCCGATTAATTGGAGAGAAACTTTTTATTACTGGAAAAACTCCACACATTAGTGTAGAAAATTGATCAAAAATTAGTTTCTTGATCTGTAGTGCTTTTTTTCTTGCTGCTATGACATCTGTAAAGCTTCTCTCAAGGAAAAGATGCATCAGCAGTTTGTGTTCTCCTTTAAAGAGGTCTCAGTCTTTAAGGCCAGGAGCAGTTGTGTTGATGCCATTTGGCTATGCCTTAAAAGTTCCTGTAATCTGTGCCATCCTGTCTCATACAGTCCCATCTCATAGTTGTCCTTTCTCTGCAGTGCTCTATGCCCAGATCTCTGTGGCTGGGCTGCTCCAGCCTGGCGGACAGCATGCCCTCGCTGCGATGCCTGTATAACCCAGGGACTGGCGCACTCCCAGCTTTCCAGGTACTTTCTGTCTTTCCCCACTCCTTTTCTCTCCATCTGTGTAAGTGTGCATCTCCTTCTTTACTTGCTTGCTTTATTTCCATTTATTCTGGTTCATACTCAGTGCCTCTCCTATGTCATTCAGATCTTTGGTATTTAAACCCCTCTTGTGTAGATTCAGGGCAGCTCAGTGCTGGGGCATTTCCATTTACCTTGATATAATTTAAGTATTTTATCTAAATTAGCTTGATACCATCATTTTTTCCATTGGCTTTCAATTGTGTCAAAAAATACCACTTAATTATATCTGGCAAACAGTGTCCATCACGCAGTCTCCAATCTGGCTATTCATGCAGTGATTCCCCTCCTATCTAAATGTTTTGTGTGCCACTTAGAGGAGACTGAGGGGATGGGTTCATTGCTATAGTGATAATTGACGCCAGCAATTGTTTACTTTGTCTTTGTTAGCAGTCGTCTGGACATTTTGACTACAGAAAATTATTGTACAAGTAAACTGTCCATCAAAAGGCAAATAAAGGAAACCACTGGGTTTTTTTTCCTTTCGTCTCTGAATTTGTTACATTCAGGCTTTTCTCTGTCATGAGACAGCTTCCTGCCAAATGAGTTTGTTCAGACCGTTGGGGTGACTAGTCAGTCTTAAAAATGCAGACACTGTCCTGTGGGTAGAGAATGAGGCAGGTACTGGGTGATCATCTAGAAACCTTGAGACAAGGCTCTCAAGATCATTGGAAGCATTTTTGGTGACGTGAACATGAACAGCAGAGACTGGGCAGCAGAAGTGTTACATTCACACTGGATACTCTGAGATACTTTGTGTACTGCAGTGACTGAGGGACTTAAGAATATCTCTGTGGAGAACAAGTTTACTGGAGCTCATGATTGCATGAACTTTTACTTGAAGGTTTATTCTGCTGGATTATACTACTGCTGACCTAACCTGTGGCAGAGAGTTTTATTCACCGGCATCTCACAAAACCAGGTGTAACGAATAAGCTAGAATCTTTCTGAAATTTTCAGTTGTTTCGGGGAAAGTTAATTATGTGCCTCTAAAGGAAAGCATGCAAAGATTATTCTGAATTTGACTTCTTGCTGGCAGGGCTGGGATAGTACCATGGAAATAATCCTCTCAGTCTCAGGGGAGGCTTAAGTGTCTTGCGTCATTTTGCTGCAACTCTTTTTGCTGACCCAGCAGTAGCACTGAGGGACTCTGGAAGGTGTCCTGCCAGGCCTCCTTTGCTGAAGCAGGCTTTTAGCAGAGCTTTCCAGGGGTGAGGGGGAAGGCGACTTTTTATTAGTATAAGAGGACTCTGGAGGCAACAGAAGGAGTTTAGACTCCTAGTTCTAATCCTAATTTGCATAATTTGACTAAATTGGATGGGCCTAATATTTTGGCTTTTGAATAAATCTCAGATCTCTTTAAGCTCGGGTTTAGAGAACCTTAGCAGTATATGGAATGTAATTTATAAACTCAAATTGGGACTTCTTTCTTTCTACTTCGGTTACTTTTGGTTATTCAGACTAAGCATATATCACAAAGGGGAAGGGAAATTAACTTCTTCTAGCTGAAGATATTCTTGCTAATGATAGATATGAACAATGACTTTTTTGCTAATGCAGTGCATTGATATTTGAGGTCAAGTGAGTCAGCTGCACAACCATTCATTGTGTTCTGCCTTCTTGGGATAGTAGATGGATTTTGACATTTGCATTTCTGCAGATTTTGAGAGACATTTCCATATGTATTTAGTAATTGTGGGAATTGGGAAGTATATCCCACTTGCCATCTGAAATGGTACACTGGTACTCTTCGCTGAACTCTGACTGCTGTGTTGAGGAACACTTTTATGATAGTTGAGGGAGAAAACAAATTGCCAGCAACAGCCTCTGCAGCAATGAGTCATCCATATTTCAGTCCATTTTTTTCATTGGGTTTTGACTGATCCCCATTAGCTTGCATGGTTTGGAGAAAACTCCCTTCTGAGGCATGGCTTCTGCATTTTCCAGTGCAGAAGGGAGTGGCTTTGAGCCTGCTTGAAACTGTGATGTTGCATTATTTCATCATTCTTTAATGCTTTTTTTGATATTGAATCCTCAGCAAAGCAGTAAAGACTGTCTTGTAGCCCAGCAAATTTTCTCATATTAAGTTACTTTCTTTTTTCTATAGCAAGCTTGAAGTAACTGGAGAAGCATATCAATGTTCTTTGCTTGTGGCAAAAGAGAAGATGCCATCTGGAAGGCTACTTAGTCACTGCTGAATTTGTCTAGTTATTTACATGCCTACCTTCAGATGCTCAGACAGAAATGTGGAAAGAGGCTCTTTTTTAATAGATCGGTAAAGTCTTGCTGACTCCTCATGGGAAGCATTGGCAGGTAGTCAATTTAGAGATTATTCTGTTAATATGTCAGGTAACTTCATTTTTCTTCTTTGTGTGTTTTTATTATTGGAGACACTTATGTGAAAACAGGATCTTCTGGTTCCTCAGCTCTGTTTGGCAGTCATTCTGCAGTGGGAAAGGCTAAACCCATGAATAGGGGGATAAGGAGCTAGAAACAGTTCTTTTTTTGTATCTTTTATCTAAAAGGGCTTTCTAACTGATTGTCTATTGTGTAACGGAATTTCATAGCAATCAAGGTGGAAGATGGCAGCAAATTGGAACATGAACTCCTATAAGGCACTGTGGAAAGGGATCAAAGAAGATATTTTAACAAGAGAAAAAGGCCAGCCATTCCATTTTTAGTGTCTTGGATGCCACATTTTACTGTACTGTTATTCTGCAAAGCAACTGAAAACTAAGATGCATGTATATTCTCTTAATAATCAGAAATAAATTTATGCAGAACATATACTCTTTTTTCCTAGAAATTTGTGCCTTAGAAGTTTCCAGATGTGCCAACAGGTATCTGTTTTCATGACATTTTTCATTTGAAGATAATTAGTTTCCCTGTTAAAATATTTTTCCATGCATGCTCACAAGGCTCTGTTTATGTTGTCTCAGCTCTTTGAAAATTCAAATTTACATTTACACTCATTAAGTATGCCAAGGAAATGATTGTATTAATCCTTCCAAGGTTGCAGAAAGCCATAGTATTTCCTTAAATTTATTTCTGTAGTTTCTTACATAAATGAGGAGATCTGAAGAAGAACTAAAAAATCCTACTAAAGGTTATGTATAAGAATAAGTGCAAAGAACAGTCCAGCTCTTCCTTTATACATACTTCACAGCCAACACAAATACCAGCTCCCATTTTGATTGTAAACTTCTTTGGGACAAGAGTCATGCCTTTAAAACTACCTTTTTCTGAAGCCTAGGCACCAGTGGAAAAGAGCTGTCCTGTCAGCTTTATTTTGCCAGATCTGAAGCTCTAGTAGTCAAACAGGAGGATTAACTACTGTGGCAGAGGTAGCAGCATCTTGTTGTATATGGAGGTATCTCTGGAAAGCCAGAAATTTTGCCTGAAGATCTTAATCATAAAGACCTGCACATCAGGGTTTGTCAGATGAACGGGCCAACCTTCTGCTTGGTTTTGCAGAAGTGAGTGTGTGTGTGACTTCCTCAGTCTTGGCTAAAAGCTCTGTCCTGGCTGAGGAAAGCATGGGTGTGCTGTGCTTGGCAAATTGAAGTAAAAGGGAGCACGCTTTGAAGTTGTGCAGCATGGACATGATCTCTTTGGACTGAGATCACTTTTGGAGAAAGGTGAGAATACAAATGATGTAAAAGGTATGTAGTATAGGGGAGTGATAAAGACATGAACTTATTTTTAAAATTATTTTTACATTATTTTTTCCTAATATTTATATTTTTTGTATTAGGAAGTGAAATATTTGTTAAAGAAACATCATCAGTGAATTGTTATAAACAACTGTTATCTGTAAATTTCCTTCAGCCTGTTCATCCATTTTTGCCCTAGAAGTTGACATTTTATTGCTGTGTAAATGTGAGTAGCAGTACATTATTTCTGGTTATACAGGAGGTTAAAGCTAAAGTCTCGGGGTGGGCAAACTGCATGCTCAGAAATGTGTTTGTGAGAAATATATTTGGAGGAGATTGTTTGGCTTTGGAGTCAGTGTTTGCTGGTGCACGTAACTGTGTCTCTAATTGGGAGAGATATGGAGTGTCCCGTCAATAGCCTCCATCAGCGTGGAGATGTGACTGCCCTTGGCCAAGCCTGCTTTGTATTCCCCCATCACACTCTCCCAGCGGCTGTGTGAAACCTGCCCCTGGGCTGTTTACAGTGCACCTCTAAAACAGAATCATAATTTTGGTGACTAATAGCCAGAGCTTCTGGCTCCAGCACCCCCCGGCTGGCGGCAGGCTCTCCCCTGGTTGTGAATGTAGTTAGGTGGCCCCCAACTGTTTACAAGACAGCAGAGGTGAGATCTTTGATTGACAAGTCAGAAATGCATTAGATCATTCCCTCTGCCAGTCTCTGGTTCATGCTGTTAAAAATGTCAGCCTCTCCAAGTTTGAATGGCAGCCCGAGGGCCTCAGAAGCTTTTTGTTTTCTGAGATGGAAACACAAATTGGATGTGTGCCTGAGCGCTTCATCCTGGGCTGTAATTTCATCTTTTAGCTAAGAACCACAAGGTACATGAGCAAAGCACCCTGTAAACAATAATACTGGGGAAAAAAATAAACAAGGTCGTGTTTCTGGTACGTTGATCCACTGGTGTCCTGACCTCTATCACGTTGAACATCTCCACTCTGATTGCTGTTCCCTTTGGCATTACAATGAGAGGAGAGAGACTGACACAGGAGGCAAAGATTTAAAGTTGCAGTGCTGTTGCACATTCCTTGTATTGGCTATGAAATATTGAACTGCCACAATGTGACACCTGGTTTTTTAAGCAAAGTTTCTTGTTGGAGGTGTTCAGCAGCAGTTTCTCCTGTTTTTCCTCATTTTACCACTGGGCAGGAGGAATTATAAAGGCCTGAGAGGTGATACAAGGAGAGGAAATGAAGCCAAATTACATAATTTTTGCTTTTGACTCCAGCTCCCAT